GAACGAGCTAGGGTGTCACAAAAACTATCCAACGGAAGGAGAACATTAGTCGTGTCGAGACGGCCAGTTCGGTAGCGCTACTCGTATCAAGACGAGGCGCGCGTTGGATTCGAGACTCCGACCCCCCAGGGTTTTCGGATGAGGTTTATAAAGGGTAAATTTAATTCCAGCTTTAATAATTCTTTAAAACCTTTTCATCTTTTGTTCATATTTCCTCCAAAACCCTAAATTGATGGGAAGGAAAGGGAGAAGGAAGAGAGTTAGTAAGTGAGGGCGATAGGTAAAGTGGAATTATTGAGAATATAGTAGAAGTATTAAGAATTAGTGAGTGAAGCGAAGTAGGTCGAGTACTTTGGATTACAGTTCCTTGCCTAATGGATTTGTTACACTATCGTTTCATTTATATATGATTTTGATTTTGACAATTAATAAAGTTAAAGGGTGTGTTTGCAGAAACTTCTGGACTGCTTCCTTGACAGATTGTTCACGGCAAAATCGTTTGACAGTGACCAGGTGCTGATAAACAACGTTGATGGTAAAGGAACAGACCTGTGTATCCCGGATGGCAATTCACGTGAACATCTCATCCATTGGGTGGAAAATATTCAATACCTACAACTACCCAATTGGCTTGGCTTGTCGAATAACGCCGAGAAAGTACTGCTAACAGTACGAGGTATCTGCCCTTAAAAGTTTTTTGCCACGGCTGTGCGTTATGCAGTGCCTTACACGATTTTAGCTGTTTTCAGGAGAAAGCATGCTTGCCAATTTGCTAAAGGTATCGGATGAGGAACTGGCATTTACGGGAGACGATCAGAAGACACAGGCACCACCATGGATGAGTGTACTTGCAGAACAAAGCTCACTTTGGCTGAAATCACTTCCGAAGGTAATCTTTCAGCATATTGCTTATTCGTTTTGATTATCTGCAAAAATGTGCAGACATTTCAAGAAGGTGTCATTATATCGCAACTTCTTCGTCATGCACGTATATGCACTCTTCCAGAGAGGTTCCATGACTGGGCTAGACGTCTTATAAGTAACTACTATAGGCAAGAAAAGTTTGATATTGACAAAATAGGACGCTCCGTTCTTAGATTCCGCTTCAGGAACGGATCAGTACTTCGCAAGTTCATCTTCTCTGGTGATTCAGGAATTAAACGCCTAGTCAGCACGCTATTATCATAAAAAGCGTTTCCTCACAATTACGTGTATTGATTGTTCGCACCACGGCTTAACTCCTCTTCTTTCTCTTCTCTCTCACTCTATTTGCTCCCTCACTGATTTCTCTTTCTTTCGCATATCCGTCTTGCAAATTATTTATACGACTGTTCAGAACATGGCAGGTAGGAGGCTGTACTGACGATTCCCGCTCCTATCCGCATCATAGTTCGATCTGCGTTTACAGCTAACGGATAAGATACAGAGACTGCATCGTTAATTGTCTTCTTACACATGACACTTAAGTCCAATCCCTCTGCTCTACTATTCTAGGTCGATGAAAACCTAAACTTTTACAAACCAACTTTGCAATTTCGAAACGCTTTCAAACGTAGTATATTTTCCTTTTGGAGTAGTTGATATTTGAGTTTATTAGCAACGGGTGCAAAAGTTTTTATTGCTGGAGAGGGCTCAAACAGTTCTCATATTATACTGCACACTTGCGTAAGAGTTAACTTACTACGCATTATGTTTAGTCGTAACTGGCAAAGAAAAAAATATCGCAGAAGTTCAAGTGATAAAAGTAGAAGTTGAAAATCCTGGATTTTACTGTACTTGTGAGTTAATCACATGTGAAACCTGAAAATTGACTTATAATTAGGGTAAATTACCGTTTTTTCTTCATAACATACAGTTTTAATGAATAAGTGTTATTTGAGAACATTCCGAAGCTAAAACGTTCCGTGGAGAACATCAAAGATCCGCTGTTCCGTTTCTTCGAACGAGAAGTTAATCACGGCATCCATTTGTTGGCAGATGTAAGAAGTGACTTGATGGAGGTGAGATACCCTTTCAAAACTTCGTGAAAAAATTCGGAAAAAAAGCTTAAAATCAGACGGATTTTTATGCAAAATGAACCAGGATTGCTTCTAGATCTGTACAAAATGCATAAATGATAACCGTGCATGTTATGCATTTTTTTTTCTTTTTTGCACGGCACGTTGATGGTAAGCTTGGCTATGTTACTTTTGGCTTTATAGCCTCGGTTTCCTCCAAAATCATGTAACTAAATTATGAAAAGG